TATATGATAGTACAGTCAAAAGTCAAAGTGTGTTTTGTGATTTAAGTAAGGAAAAGGTGGACAATAACATTTGCTGTAATTACTGTTTTTCTAGTTGCTGTTATTTTTTTTCACGTGGAAATGCTTTGTAACCTGTGATGCCCACTTTAAATGTAATACATCGCCATTAAAATTTATGCTAGGAATCTATTAAAACTCAACAAGGATAATCATGGGAAAGTCTTTTTCTCTAAGCTTTTCTTCCCTCGTTTGTAAAGTGGAGCATGTTTCACAGGCTGAGCCTCTCCCCGCCCTGGCCTTGTTCTCGTTCATACTCTGGAATTGAGTGGATTATGAGCCGATGTGGACACTCCAGGCTCCAGGCTCGCGTCGTACCTGCCAGGTGGATTCGGAGCTTACCTGACGCTGTCTGGACAAGGCTCACCAGAAGCAGGAGGAGGAGGAAGAGGAGCCTCATGATGGGAACAAGCCTCAGGGGTGTAGGAGCGCCCGGAAGTGTCCTGAGTGCACAGCAGTCACAAGGAATCTGGAAGAGATTGAACGCTTACATTCAGAGGACAGACACTCAGTTTAGTGCCTGAGAATGTTTCATGATTGACGATTGGATTATGGGAAAAAGAAGGCTTTATAGTCAGCACTTTCTATTGGACTTTTACACTGAGTAACATTTTTTTTGAGAAGAAAACTTTACAAAAGAATGTTATTTGTGAATTCCCAGTTATTCATCCACCCTCATTGTGTGACCCCGCACTTTTTGGATCTCTCTTTAGAAATACAAAATAAATAAAATGAATCTCCTGTTATTAGAATCCACCAAAGGAGAAGCAGGTTTGCAAATGGAAATTACCTTCTGTCCTTACTCACTCTCAGTTACTTTTGTGCTGTCTGATTAGAGAAGAGACTCTGCCCCTATGCAAGGGAAGCGCTGACCTGCAAACTCTTGCACAGAACACACACTCGTGACCAGGGAGTTTCTTACTAGAGGTGCTGCAGCAAGGCTGTCTTGGAGTAAAAGGAGCTAAACAATGGAGTGTACAGAAATAAAGCACTGGCGTGCTCTTCATCTCCTCTCCTTCTTCTGTTTTGCACTTTTCGCCTAAATTATCTTTCCCTCCTTCACTAGAATGTGAGTTTCTAAAATAACAAGTCCTGTTTTACTGTCTTACACACGTAGCACCTTGAGTAATACTTGGTATAAGAGAATGTACTAAAATACATGTTTCTGAAAATTAGTTCATTTTATGCAAGACTCAAAAAGTGGAGGATTAAATAGATTATGGAGAAGGAACAAAGAGCAAAGGCAAGGAAAGTTATGATCTTAATGTTTGTGTGCCTCCACAGTTTGTGTGTTGGAATGTGAATCCTGAGCATGATGGCATTAGAAGCTGAGGTCTTTGAGGTGTAATTAGGTGACAGAGTAAGGACCCTCAAGAATGAATCATTGGTTTTAATAAGGAGATCCAATGACACTCATTCATTCCTTCTGCCACATGAGAAACATCAAGAAGGCATCACCTATAAGCGAAAGCTCTCACCAGATGCTTTGATCATATAATTCTCAAACTTTAGGACTCTGAGAAATAAATTTCTGGTTTTATAAACTGCCCAGCTGATATTTTGTTGCAGTAACTTGAAGGGACTAAGACAAGAAGGAAGGATGAAAGGAAGAAAGAGATCATCAAGGTAGACAGGGAGCACACTCAGGGACCAGAGCTCTCTATTTATCTAAAATTGGTTACTTCACTTCAGTAACCAATGGAACTCTTGACTCAGTGGGAGATTGTGGCTGATACACAGAGAACAAAGAAACCACACAGTTCCTGAAGTAGACTCTGGTCTTCAGAAGGATAGAGAAAGAATGAGTTTTGTCTGACAGTTAAAAGAGCTCTTGAGTCAGACAAACATAATTCAAAGTCTTTGGTTTCCCACTCACAAATTGAGTAACCTTGTGCAAATAACATTTTATAACCACAGCCCCTCCTGTGTTCATTGGTGATGATTATTTTGCCAACTTCCTTTCTTGCTGTCAGAAAATTGGGGCTAAGAGGGATTCCATGGCTGA